GAGAGAGAGAGAGAGAGAGAGAGAGAGAGAGAGAGAGAGAGAGAGAGAGAGAGAGAGAGAGTGTGGTGTGTGTTGGGAGGGGATTATCTAAGAAACTATAAAGGATCTCTCAGCTATAAGCTTATACTGATGGAAAACTCATCAGATGCCTTTGCCTTCAAAACACAAATCACATTACAATAAAAAAAATTCTATTTGCTCCTAGTTTTCATCAAAGTATTTTATACATAATCAAATTCCAAATGGAATGTAATTAAGCCATTCACATAGTTTTCTTTCTTCAGCAACAAGGAAAAAAAAGCCCCAATGGTTTCACAATCATGAAGTTTGAATGGAAGGTTGGCTGAAGCATCTCTTTTCAATCCTACATTAATCCTCCTGCAGATATAGATATATCTTAAATTGAGGTGAAATTAGGAAAGAACTCATTTCCGTTTTGTCTTCAAATTTGTGTCAATCTACAGCCTTTTCAACCGTTCAAGAAATATATTAAAGATGTTTCTATTAAGAAGACCACCTAAACCTACCATCCATGGTCGTAGCGGTGCCACTTGCTTGCCTCTTCCTCATCTCTCGAATGTACTCAGCTATCAGGCTATCAGTGTTGTTGTCATCCACATTTTTTCTAATTGGCTCCACAAAATTATCCCTATGAAAATAACCAGACAATACAACACAGAAAACAAAGTCATTTCATTTTAGTTTTCAATGTTTTTTTCTTTGTTGTGTTTTACAGTTTAACTAACAAAAATATGACAAAGATATAACAGGGATTTTTAAAATACAGTATAACATGGATAACTCGAATTCGTTGGGATCGGCCTTGGTAGTTTGAGGGATCCGTACTCCGAGGGATATCTTACAAAGATAACGAAGAAAAAAACAACTGGACTGCAGGCACAGTTTGGTGGATGCGTGATTTCGAGTCTTCTGTGTAAGAGTAAGACCTTTCCGTATTATACTGTTTGGCATTAAAACAATAAGAACCCATACTCATTTAAGTTTTAGTGGTGCTCTCTCTCTTGCCCTTTTAAACTCCCAGTGGGGCATAGGCCATCAACAACATTTCTCCAGCGAAGCCTGTCCTGTGCATCATTTTCTAGCTGTTTCCATGATTTCGTCCCTGTCTTTTCCATTTCCGCTTGTACCGCTCGCCTCCATGTCATCTTTGGTCTTCCTTTCTTGCGTTTTTTGTGTGGATTCCACGTCAAAGCCTGTTTGATGAGGTTTGTCGTTGGTCTCCTCAGGGTGTGCCCAATCCATTTCCATTTCTTCACCTTTATGTCTTCCTTTTCTGGCCTTCGGCTTGTTCTTTCCCACAGTTGAGCATTTGTGATTCGATCGTACCACTTGATCCCCTCTATCCTTCTTAGGCATCCATTTATGAAGCTCTGCAGTTTCCTTGCTGCTGATGCTGTGAGCCTTTAGTGGTGCATTTTTGGGTGTTATACAGTCACAGGGGAAGAGGCGATGGTATCATTGCAACTATTATAATTAGCACTATGAACTCTTGGTACTTAAATAAACATTTCAAAACCTTACATTCCACATAGAGTAAAGACAATTTAGGGGTGACTTATGATAAATAGATATACTGCTCAGAAACAAGCCCATTTCTTTTAACCCACATTAAGAATGCAGAGCAGTGTGTTCCCATTTTGCTTGATATATAACTAATTATCTTTTAAAAAGAAAGGGGGCACAATGGGTGTAGCATAAAATATACTACCATACTGGATATGATGCAATCTAATCCTTGTATGTAATCATTAACATGAATCACCTACAGGTCCTAGAGCAACAACAACAGCAGACCTATACACTAATGTATTCCATAACTTATAAATTCACTAATTCTGATCTATTTGCCCTTCCACACAAAGTATAATCAGTGCACGTTTATATCAATATATGTATATTATATACCCATATTATTATTTGTCACAATTTTATATTTTATAAAAAAATAAAAACCCATTGTTACGGTACAAACAGCCATTTCACAGAACATTCGGTCAGAATAATCCTATCACCCCAGGGACACACACACACACACACACACACACACACACACACACACACACACACACACACACACATACACACACACACACACACACACACATATATATATATATATATATATATATATATATATATATATATATATATATATATATATATATATATAAAAGCACACTCACCTTAAATAATCTCTGATTTCTGTAAAATATTTCTTAATCTTTACTCCCGCAAATGGGTCTCCAGGCACAAAACGAAGCCACGGAAAGATATTAAGGATGAACGATCGACCTGTTAAAAGAACCTGTAAAAAATAAATCCCAGCAGATTCAGCTTTTCACACAAGCCACGACAGGCTCAATGATAAAGTGAATCACCCTTCATCTCTAGAGTTAAAGCTTTTTCATAGATAAACATCAGATCAGGGTCTTATAACATGGTTGCTGTCCCTTATGGCAAAGCAGCTCTTAAATGGAGAGTGAAGGCAAACATTTTACTGACTTCCAAAGACAAACCCCATACAGAGGTGATCTCAAACCTATGAAGGAGGATATTTTTGCATCGCCTAAGTGATGTCAAAGTGCGGTGTTTGTGCGGCCTGCACGTCTTTCTCACATACACCTTTTAAAAGACTTTTTGGTAGCACATATCTGTGTGAAAAGCTGTTCTTTACTGTGAACTTAAAACAATCAAAATACAGTTCCAAACTTACAGATGAGCATCTTCAAACCATACTGAGGGTTTCACTTACTTTCTCCCTCCAGCCAAAATGTGGCTGAGCTATGGAAGAGGAAGTGTTGACAGCTCTCTGGCAGCAAAAGAATGCGTAAGACAAGCCAATATTCTAAAGAGCTGTTCATGTTCTGAACTGCTATTAATAAAGATTGAGAGGATTAATGCAGTTGTTCTTTTCTTTAAATACTTGAAATCTTTTTTTGGGGGTGGGATTTCTTGAGGCGACCCAGGTTCACTCTAACTCTACCTCCAGCAGCCCCTGCGAAATTTGAGTTCGAGACCCCTGCCCTAAAGGATTGAGGCTGCGCTTAAAATAAATCAAACAAAACTTTGAGCAATTGCGAAGTTTTGCATTCATCTGTCAACTTGATAATACCCAATCACTTTAAAATCGACTTCTGTCAACCAGCAAAAGATATTCTAAAAAATGCAAAGGACTGTCTTTGATATCATATTGGGTCATGTCCATGAATATATTCCTAAAAAGCAGAACAATATTATGCCTGCAATGTCTAAGATCTTGGTTACCACAAATCTCCTACCTATAATAATGAAAAATTTTCCCCATTCAACGGTCAGGACTAATTTTGCATCAACAAAAGGTATCATAATTCCATAGGAAAACAGCTATGACATCAATAAATCAATTAATTTGTATCTTTAGTAAAAGAGCAGAATAAAAATAATATGTTACCAGGTAGGCCTACATGGTGTGATCAGATACCACTAACATTGTCCATTCTTACATAATTGTCCACAGTATTCAACAAGCGGACCAAATCTGGATCTCCTAGCTCAAACCGCTGGCCCTTGATGATGTTGCAGATGACGTTAGACACACAGCTGTCGGTCAGGATTTTTATATTGCTTGGTTCACCTTTTAACTCGCTCAAAGCATTCAGGTAAATCTCAACCTGAAAAAAAACAGCAAAGAAACTTCTAAGTTAACATGTGATATAGATTTTAAAAAATAGTTTATGCTGCAGTCTTTGTTACAAGAGATCGTGTACTCAAAACTAAAATCATACCTGAATGCTTTAAGATAATGTTACTAAATGAGCCATGCACCCTTCTGAACAAATGGTCACTAGACTTCACAATAACTCTCTAGGATGGGCTATTCATTTTAATTCATTCATTCAGTCCCCCTGTAACCTTCGGTGTGGCAGTCTGTTATCATTGACTTCACCATTCACTTTTTGCTGCCTGGACTGTAAATAAATGCCTTTTCCTGCTAAATTGAGCAAATGGTCACTTTAAAAAGTATTAACATGAAATGAATTGTGTTTTCGGAAACAAAAAAATCCAAGAAGTCGTCTGTGTCAACATCCACACAACAATATCCAGAAAAGAAGCTAAAGTTACATGAATTTACCTCATGTGCCGAGTCTCCTGATAATCCATTGCTTGACGTAGATTAGTTTTGAAACGTTCCTTCTCATACCAAAACGAGGCATATTAAAATATCAGAACCTAAAAGCGAACAACAAAGTAGCTAAAGACAAACAAGAAGAAACAGTGCATTCTCACTTCTTTTTCAATTTTTTCAGCAAAGGAGTTCTTTCCCATGCCAAATGATCGGAGGATGGACAAAGTGACAGTTCTTTGTTCTTTCCAATTTTCTCCAGAGGATGTGATAATACCTGAAAAAAATAGGAGACAGGGAAATTGAGTAAAACTGAAATATTCTTCAGGTTTCATCAGAACGTTGGTTCTAGACTCTATGTTTTGGCATTTCTTTAATTAAAAAAGCACAAAGCAACTACAATAGTCTCTACTGTCTGGGAGAAGCAAGACTAAAGACTGAAACAGCTGAGAGGCAGGAAAAAGTACCAGTAACAGCCACCCTCCATCCCCTAGTGAAAAGATAGCAAGTCAGTGATGGTCATGGAGAACTGTGAAAAAATCAAAATTACATGAAAAGAACAACATAAGGGACAGGAAAGAAGTTGCTCCTGAAAATGATGCTCTGCAGAAAGAGGAGGAATGTCAAATCAAGGAACATTTCAGGACATAACTTAATTGTCAAAAGTCTACATAATGCACAGGGAAATGAATATTCTAAACAGCAACACAATGGCATTTAAGAATGCACAGCAAAACAAAATACAGAAGGTATTCAGATTCAAGAAATGAACAGTGAAAACAATTTTCCTGCTCACGGGCATTTACACGCAGTTGCATAAGTTTATGAACGAGAACTATAGCAGAGCAGGAAAAAGCTGTAAGAGTCACTACTCTAACTTCAAGGGTTCAAATTCCAGAATTACACGTTCCACATTAGCTAGGAAAAGTACATTATCCTTATTTCCTTATTTATTTACTTCATCCTTCAGCAATCATGTGCAACATACAGTATTTATGCAAATTATAGTGACACCCTTCTAAAGGGCAGCAATGTTGTACAAATCTCCATGGCGACTGTGATGTGAAAATATAAAGAATCCGCTCGTCAAGAAAGTACTTTGTCTTCCGTCAATAAAGCATGAGGGGAGCGGAGTGTCAGAGTCAAGTTCAAATGGGTGGAAAGTGGGGGTAAGGGAAAACATTGAAAGGCAAGATAAAGCATTGATGAAGTGAAAAATCTTTGGAGCTACCAGATAAGATCGTTGGGATTCTAAGAGGCTCTCGTGGAATTCAAAGGAAGGTGTTTTGCCCCACACCGACACACTGGAGGCTCTCGCTATGTCAAATTTTACAACTGAGCCAAATCTAGATTTTCCTTTGTGTGGTCTTCATTCTCGACACAGATGTACTGATGGTAATTTTTCATAAATTGTATTATTCTTACATATTTCTTTGCTATTTGATATTGTTGATAGAATATCAGCCTTGTTGAGGCTGAGAACAATGTAAAGTACATTGAACATTTGCTCAGTATCAATGGACTATATTATAAGTTCATTACAAAATAAAACGAGTGGAAACAGACAGGATAGCAAAACAACTACATTGTATAACTAATGAGCCGTTTACTTCAGAACCTATTCAAAATGTAGACAAGACTAAAAAAAACAACTGAGACATACCTTTGTGTCCCTCAGGGCTCAGGCTAGCATCATACAGCTGAGGTCGATCTGTGAATATGTCAGCTTGCTTGACAAAAGCTTCCTGATGGGATTTTGAAAACCACATTCCAATGAGCATGTCACAACTGTTAACAATGGAAATCTATTTTTAAAAACGCTCTCAATAAGTGTCAGTCCTGTTTGTTAATTTGGTTGTTTTATTTTGCAACTGGAGAATAATTTAGACATCTCGGTTTCAGAACAACTATGACATTACTTTATATCCATAACTTCGGTAACACTCGCCAACCAAATCACCTGAAACAATATCTCATTGAGTTCAAACTTCCTTTATCCTTTCGGCTTGAGACTGAGAACATGGAACACTCCAAAAATTCAGGTTTATTGTAACCTCAAGTCACTCTGAAGGGATTCATTTCAAATCTACATGAGTAAGAGAGACAAAGAATGAACCTTCTATACCTTCAAGACTTCAATTCCACTGAGAACAACCGTCAGTTGGCTTCCTATATAGATGCTGAATATATTGCCTGATCTGTGGAGTTAAGCAAAATCACTTTAATTATAATTGTCGTCTACAACATGGTTCATTTGGAAAATTTTTATGAAAGAGCAATTTTTTTCTAAACACAGTGGGAGACCTGAGACATGACATGATGGAAAATTTTGAAGTAAAAATAAAACACATTATAAAAACTGACATGAAACTGATATATGGTTTGACTCACATTGATTCAATAAGGAAATAACAAAACATCACCAGCATTATAAGGAAATTTGCAAACTGGTCAAAGATTGTCACCATAAATGACTAGCCACATCTTTTAAAATTTGTTTGCAAATGCATTAAAGATTGATCCTGAGAAATTAAAGATGTATCTCACTCTTTCTTGTGGTAAACTGCATTTGAGGTACCGGCAGTCAAAATTTTGAAACTTAGGACCACTATAACCCTGAAAACAACCTTTGTCCAACTCCTTGTGCTAGCAACTGTGAGGAAACTCTACCAAACAGGTTTAGGAATCAAACCTTGCACTGATAGGCACTGACAGCAAACACATTTTGACAACTATTTTTGGGAGTACGTTGGGGAACTATTTCCTTGAAACTATAGCTCAGAATTTAAAACATGGCTTTTTCATACTAGTTCTTATGCACTTGATCTAAAAAAAAACCCCAACCCCCCGCCAACCCCCCCCCCAAAAAAAAACAACAACCCACAACAACTGCAGGTGCTCTGGTGTGGTTTCAGATAGAAACCTCTGGTGTGGTTTCTGGTCTGCTCCTCTGGGGTGGTTTGCTCCTTTTGTATCAAACATCTATCGTCTCCTTCTTCTTTGTATTTGATTTGTTTGTTACTCCCTTGTGACACCCTTAATCTTTGACACATAGGTGATGACTGATTATTGTATTGCACGTGCCTTAAAACTCTTAAAAAACAACCCCACAACAGTTCACTGTGCATAAATATGTGGATTCTGATCAATTTGATAGAAAAAATGGTATACGTTTAACGCCCCTATCAACACTATTAGGTTATTTAAGGGGCGGGACCTCCTAGTTTAACGTCCGTCTCCGATAGGACCGCAATTTGATAGCAAAACAATGATAAATGAAGCCATTTAAATGTTAGTGTTCTAAAAAAACATAACAATCATTTTCAACCACATTAAGATATGCAGGAAGACTTACTTTTCAGTCCACTCTTTCATTTTTTCCCTGGGGTTTTTTCTCATCATTGGCAGGTGTCCTAGAAAGGGGTACGGGCTCTCCGGCATGGGAGGGGCGTCATCTGGGTGGTCCCCAGCAACAAAGAAGTAGACAATGCCCAAGACAACAATCACAAACACCAGGGGATTGAGCGCAAGCGCTTGGATGAAATCAAAGAACATGGGGAAGTGCTAATAAATAGCTCCAGACTTTGGACCTTGGACAAAGTTCCAGTTCAGTCACACAAACTGTGCCTGTTTTCTGTGTGCAGTTTGTCGATCAGTGTAGGAAAATCCAGTGGAAGTCAGTCAGCCCAAAGATGACCTAGTCTGAGGAAAAATTACAAAAATAACATTACAAAACAAAGCATTGTACTTCATACTAAAATAAAACAAAACATACACAAAGCCATACATCATACATACAGTGGAACTTGTGGTCAACGAAGTCGTCGGGCCTGACCTTTGATTTCACTAAATCCGAGTGTTCATTATAGCAAAGATCGTACATATATATGATCATTGATTATAGCAAACAAAGCTTTTTGTGTAGATAATTACAGGCACCGAGCAAGTTATCGCTGGTGGAGTGATGAAACCTCGTAACCCTCAATTTTTTCGAAATTCGTTTTTTTGGCTTAACATCTTCTCCCAGTCCTTCTTCACAATGTGTCAAAAGCACTAGGTTAAATAAGTAAGAGAAAGTATGAAAAAAACTTAATAAAAAAACCTCGTATGTTTGCCCCCATGATATCCTGGCGTGATGAAACCTCGCAACCCTCACCCGGTGCGCCGATCTGCTTTTGCGTGGTTTCATCACTCCCGGTTTGAGAGAGTGGCGTGCTTATACGAGGTTCTGGATAAGCCTTCTTTATGAATTAGCTTAATTGAAGCGCTCATAACTGACATTTTCTGGTGCATTTAATGTATCTGACGGAATAAAGAAATATTTCATTCATTCATTCTTCCATACATTCATTCATTCTTTTATTAATTCACTTTTTTTCAGTCAGTTCAGAAGTTCAAATATGGTCATACGAGAAGTACTTACATTGTGTAAATATATTAAAAATCCATTCATAAGGATGACTAACGAGCTAGTAATCAAGATGTTCTCATCGAGCACAAACGTAGTTAACATTTAAGTTAAGGCAACAGTCACACCTTGAAATGACAGGTGACGGTAGTCCTTACTAAGACTAGGTGACAGATCTATGCACTCTCCAGATGTCAACAGGCCATTCTGTTTATCAAAGAGAGGTTAAGGTTTCGCATTTTCTCAGACTATTTTTAGTTTTAGTAGATGTTTTACGGTGCTCGCAACTGTATAATGCTATACGAGCACCAAGGGTTGAATGTCAACAGAGAAGTCCTTACAGGGAATCAGACTTACTCTGCTCACCTCTCTAGCTTCAGCAGCAAAAAGTCTGCTTCGACTACATGTATCAAGGTACCCCGGAAATAGCGAGTCACAAGAGTGTGACAAACATACAAAAGAAGTAGAGGAAAATGACGATAGTAAGGATTAGGACAGATAAAGCAGCAGTTCTCTGTTGTAGTTCAGGCACAGTTATGAGCATGACATTGTTAGATCAGCCCATTTACAATTCTACTGTTCACTAGAACGAAAAATGCCCCCCCCCCCCAATTTGGGAATGGCCTAAAGACACTTCAGTCAGTGGCACTGCCCCGGGGGAGTCTCAGACAATGAGAGCGATTAGTGCTGAACTTAACCGTGGTCTTGATGACTATGAAGTCTTTAGAGGACATTGTGACAAATTTGTGCCTCAACAACACAAGTAAAACGGACACTTCCGAATCTGTATTGAATATCTCCTTCTAACTGTGCTCATCCGGTAGATCTTTATACCCTACAAAGGCTGGTTTGGAAACCACTGAGCAGACCATGTTCCAGGAATTGACCCCACCCACCATATCGCAGTCCTTTCCAGGGCTGTCCCTGATATGTGGAGATAAGGAAGTATCAGCATCACCCCAGACTGAGTCTGCATCAACAATAGTGTCGCCTGGAATCATACCCCAAACCATACTGACATTTCATCAGGCAGCTGTAAGTCAGATGCTGAATTATTACCTTCGAGGTTACAGCAACACAATCTGTAGACCATATTCAGGCACATTAGCCCCTTTTCCTGGAGCCTGATCCCGAGACACAGCTCATTTGTTAGGCCAGCATAAATGATGCTCCACAGAGGAAAAGAAAGGGTTTTTAGGAGTGGCAACAAATAAGTGAAAAGCTATCCGTGGATCAGGACAGCATTGGAATACATAAAGGTTCAATGAAAAGCCCAACTAAGTTATTGAAACCAAACTGTGATTGCAAGAGCTGGACTCTGAAATGTAAAAGGCTCTCTGAAGTTGATAGATATTCTAATTTTGATTTAGTGTGGACCCTCTCATGGGATGACTAGTGGACCTCAGAGGAGGTATTCAGAGACTAACCAGAGAGGGAATACATTCAATAAACACTTTTAAAAGGTGGCCTAAGGTGCCAGTGTGCTCAAAGATGTTCCTGGATTGGGTTGGATGAATGATTTGTAAGAAACATTTAGAACCAACAATTATCAAAGCAACTCAGATATCTACAAAATATGTGCACAATTCTGCCAAGACCACAGGAGGCGGCCTCTCAACAGACCCGGCCTCGATGAAGCATTCAAGCAGAATAACCTGTCGCTATTCCTGTCAACGAGAGACATGTGCGACTTTTGATTCAGTCGTGAAGTTGACAATATGCTGGAGGATCTTTGGAATGCTAACATTCTAGAAAAGGAAGCAGCGCGCAAAGAAAAGGAACTAGCTAAATCTGAAGCCATCAAATCTCTCGCCAGTAATGAACCTAAAACGACCGTACTTTCAATGGATCTTCAGCATCAGTCTTACATTACAAAACAAAACTCGCTTTTCATAACTTTACGCCATTGGATGCTGCAACACGTCAGACTCCTTTTTTATGTGTGTCATGAAACAGAAGGGGGACTTATGGCAAATGAGTTAGCTTCATGTCTATTGGAATTCCTGAAGGAAAAGCTGGACTTCCAGAAAACCCTTATCGACAGCGACAACTGTGGTTACCGATAGATACATGTCACACTAGCCAATGTTTCTCTCAGCCTTTTTTCAACAACACACGGAAGCACAATTGAACAGAAACTTTTTATCAAATGACACACACAAATGGAAATTAACAGTGTGAATTCAACTATTACTATTAAGGTATCGCTTCGAAAACATGCATCGAGCTCCTCCAAGACTATCTCCATTTCTTCATGATGGCAAGAGCAAAACAAGAAACTTATCAAAGCAAATATTTGGATCACACATTCTTCAAGGAGTATTCTAAGTGTGGAAGCTACGACAAGTCCATAAGACTAGGTAGAAAAACGGGTGATCCTGTTGTCAGGTGTTTGAAGTACATCCCAGACATGAACATCCAGTTCAAGATGCACCTGAAGGATGAATGGGCTGACGTTCCGAAGGCTGGACACAGAAACATAAGGTCCATCCTACCTCGCCACTCTACACAAAACGTTTAAGTTCCAGCACTTCAAGTACAATCACCTGCAGGTGCTTAAATCTGTTATTGCCAATGTGCATCGTCACTTCATGACAATTTATACCATTAACATTAATGGTTGTTCATTATGATTCAACATCTTTTATGAAAACCACCTGAAGTGCAAACAGAGACCATATTGCAGAGATTTATTATTAATTTGTGCTTTTTAGCAAAACTGGAAGTAACCAGATCTAATCTTGGCAAATTATAGTGAAACAAATTGCATTAATTGCAATCCGTTTGAAGATTGAAACATAAATTCTGCAGGTAACGCACATTTATTTGACTTCAGTTGGCCGGGAATCGAACTCCAAACCAATCGGTTTAGAATAAACATCTTTATCACTTGGTGGCGTTTCAAACAATAGACGCTTACTGCAACCAAAATGAGCAGCGAGAAAACTCGCAACCCTCAAACTCTGTCCTGATGAAACCTCGCAACCCACCCGCCGGCTGACTACGAGGTTTCATCACGACAAAAATGGTGTAATGAAACCTCGCATCCCACAGCGTAACCACATAAACAATATAGAAGTTATTTTTATATGCTAACCACGTTTCTAACGTGTTTTTATCTATCTGTACCAACTTTGGTTTCTATAGGTCATTTTATTCAAGAGTAAATCAGTTTTTTGTCTCTCCTGTAAAATTTTCCTTTCTGGGGTTACGAGGTTTCATCACTCCACCAGCGTTATGTATGTATTTGACTTTCTCGACCAAAAGTAGTTTGGTTTCAAATGAGAGGTATTTTCGTTTTTTTAATGCCATACTGAAGAAAAGCTGGAATATTCCAGGAAAATACACTGAGCTCTACCAAGCACACACGTGCAAAAGGGCTAATTCATTCAAAAGCACGCCTGTGTCATCTATCAATAATGTATTACTTGCCGAATAAGTAATGTTTCTGTGTAGAGCCTAGCAAGAGAACGTTTGATTCCACAGTCCAGTGCGCTATTCATTAGGCCCATATTATGTTAAGGCTCGCTTTTATTCATGTAATATTGATCAGTAGGCCTACCTGGCAGGGAAAAACCCCCTGTAATCGTAAACCTTCAGTATCTCTTCTGACGTTCCACACACGGACCGCCTGTGACCCCCCTGATAGACACACACATGTGTGCTGGCCACCTGTCTGACCTGGACACACGCTACGATGCTAACAATGCATGTATTGGTATGAAAAAGGTCGCTGATTGGTCGCATAAGATATAAACAATAGACTAAGCGAATTGAATGATGGTTCGTGGTGCAGGTGCCGTGGTTTGTTTCCAGGCCAGGAACAGATATGGTTCGCTACGGGAGAAATATGAGCAAAGCCATGTCAGTAAGTCAGTGGGGACTGTTAAACCATACAAGCGACTTCGTTGAATCCAAGATTGGTCGAATGTGTTCGTTGAATCGGAATTATTTTTATTGATTTTTATGAAAAAATAGACTGGGGAATCCAACTCCTTTAGTTGAATCTGAGGTTTTAAAAAAATCAATCCGAGTTAGTTGAATCCAAGTTCCACTGTAAGAACAATTCCCTGGTGTTTCATAAATATTTGAAACTGATACTACTTGGGCCCTGACCCATCTGTTTAGTTGGGAGGAGTTGTTACACGACAGATATTGAAGGAGAAATTCAGCCTGCATCAAAATTACTACACAAAAAACACATGATGTTGTGTCATGCAGGCTCTATCATCATCATACGCAATGCCTTGCCCGCTAATACTAAATCATGTCGCAAACGTTCAATTTCTAAATG